TGAGCAAAAAAATCAATTTCAAGTTTTGTGAATTTTTGTGTTTATATTTGAATTCATATCGCGTAAACTTAGAGCAACAATGAGAAGAAGAAGAACTATAAAAGCACATCAACAGCAACGGGCAAAGTAAGGGCTCCGTAGTACCGACCAGAATAATAAATCTCCAACGCACATTTCCGTTTCAATACCAAAAACTGTTTTGGCGCGTACACAAACACAATCGTTGAAAAAAGCCAAAGAATAGAAAGAAGAAAATAAAAATTGAAAGAATACAAAATCAGTGAAGATAAACTCCTAGAAGTCGCTTTGAGCATAAGTGGAAAAAAGCCGGAATAAGGACAAAAAAGCGTATGACGCAGGATGTTTTCGCCTTAGTTTTTATTAATATTTTTCATGCGTTTGCAATGTAGGATGCAACCACGAATTTAAAAACATTTCCTTATGTGAGTGCAATAATTTTCCACTGCAACGTTGAGAAAATTTCATAGTCATTTTTTCTTCCCTTTTTTTCCCAAGTTTTGTGTTTTTCAAGTTACTTCTATTGACAAATCTTCCAAAGCTATTTGTATCCAATATTCAATAATATACTCTTTGTTAGAATGAAACTCATTTAATGCCTTTCAATAGCAATTAAAGCCAAAGAGGGATCTATTTTAAATATTTTCGGTCCAAATTGAAGGTAATGGTTCGGTTCACTTAAGTCAGATAGTTTGTTTTTGTCTTTACTAAAGCGGTATCTGTTTATAGCAAAATTACATCTTTAATATTGTCGTATTTGAAAAAAAAATTTTTAAATATCCGAATCCGTCCGAATCCAAAACATATCCGCGCAATCACTGCCCAATAGTTTTAACTAATATCTACATTCTCATACAACTGTATATATAGTTACATATATATCTTATATATAAAATTAACATTGTCAAAATGTTAGTTACCGTACTCCTCCGAAACGGCTTTACCGATTTTTACCAAATTTTATATGCGTATTGAGTAGGTCTGGGAATCGGCTACTATCTATTTTTCATACCGCTAAAGTGATTAGTGTGTCCCTATCCAGCAAAAATATCTTTATTGCTTTTACAAAAATTTTTTTATTTTTTTGACATAAATTTTTTTATATTTTTGAAAAAGAAAACTTGCTATGATATAAAAAGTTGTTGTCTATGAAAATACTGAATTCATAAAACTGCCCCTAATTTTTGCACTATCGTTGATTCCCAAAATGCTCTCATTGACCGCGTAGTTCCAGATGTACACATACAATACATAAATCATGGGTGGCTGGCAGAAAGAGCCATTAGCAGCAAAAAAAACGTGGACGTTGATGAATTAAACTTTAAGATAAAACAGACAGTGCCAGGCGACTTAATATCATACAAATCGATCGATACAGTTTGTGATACCAACGAAGTTGTAAATTATCCAGCAGAGTTTATAAACTCACTGGATTTGCCAGGCATGCCACCACACATTTTACGACTGAAAGTTGGATCACCGATTATTTTACTTCGGAATTTGAACCCACCACGGCTATGCAATAGTACGCGATTGGTAATTAAAAAATTAATGAAAAACATTATCGAAGACACCATTTTGAATGACAAGTTCCGAAACGAAAAAGTTTTATTGCCACGAATTCCAATGATTCTCACAGACAAGCCAATTTAATTCAAACGCGTTCAATTTCCTATTAGATTGGCATTTGCAAAGACCATCAATAAGTCGCAAGGCCAAACGATGTCTGTTTGCGGTCTTATAAATAAAATTTCCATGTCACAATGTTAGTTACCGTACTCCTCCGAAACGGCTTTACCGATTTTTACCAAATTTTATATGCGTATTCAGTAGGTCTGAGAATCGGCTACTATCTATTTTTCATACCGCTAAAGTGATTAGGGAGTCCCTACCCAGTAAAAATATCCTTAGTGCTTAACAAAAAATTTTTTATTTTTTTGACATAAATTTTGTTTATATTTTTGAAAAAGAAAAATTTTTTCTTAATATTTTATGTAACTACGCCAACAAGTACATCGAGCATTTACATCGACTTCGTTCTTCGTCTTCGGCTTGCATGGCAGATGGAAAATGTACTAAAAATTTTTCTAAAGATTTCACTAATGATACTATAACAAATACCGACGGATATCCAATATATCGTCGAAGAAATCCCGATAATGGGGGACAATGGCGGGTGGTAACGTATTCGCCTCTGCTAAGCAAGACATACAATGCTTATATTAATGTTGAGTTTTGCAGTTCTGTGAAGAGCATCAAATATATAAGTATGTCCATAAAGGCGGTGGTATGGCTGTGTTTAGAGTAGAAAATACTAATGTAAATGCTCCTCCAATGAACAAAAACGGTGAAATTACGCTCTACCAAATTGGTCGGTACATCACCTCCAATGAAGCTGCTTGGCGTATCTTCGGCTTTCTAATTCATGAACGGGATCCAGCAGCTGTTCAGGTAGCCGTCCATCTTGAAAATGGTCAGCGTGTATTTTTCACGAACGAGACAGTGATTGATCGTGGTACAAATCCACCTAAATCTGCACTCACTGCATTTTTTGAATTGTTTAATAGTACGGATGATTTTGGTGCCTTTGCAAAAACATTACTCTATTCACAAGTACCACGCTATTTCACATGGCCTTAAACAAAAAAATGGATGCCCCGCAAGCAAGTTTCACCAGTTGATGCATGTCTCAATTTATTTAAATCAAACGCTTATTTATAGTTAATCCAAGACACACTGAGTACTTTTATCTTCGACTGTTGTTGGTTAATGTTACTGGCCCATTATCATTATTATTATTTACAGTCAATCCAAGACAATTTAAATTTGAAGATACAACAGTTGTTGCCAGGGAACTTGGTATCATAAAATCTATTGATTTTAAATTAATAATTTAATAAATAAACTATAATAACTTAAAAATAATATTGTTTGGCGTTTGTTATTTTTATTTTCCTTTTCAGTCATAGCGCTCCATGCCTATTTCATGCATATACCACATACTTACACACTTATAATAAGTAAGTTACTTTTTGCCTACACTAGAATTTATCTAGAAACTAGAAATAATTTATAAGGCAAAACAACGTTTGTCGGGTTATCTAGTAACTGTATATATTTTAATAATTCTTAATATTTAATAATAGTGTTAACATATAAAAAAACTGCCAATATATGGATACAGCATTCACATGATATAACTATGTAGTAAATATGGATACGCTCTGGAAACACACTATCGAAGAATCAGACAAAATAGTGTGAGTCTTCTGATGAAGATATTCGAAAAAGACAAACCGGCCTCCGAGAAATACCAGAATTTCGACTACTTCTAAAAAGGCAAAATAATAAAATTGTTATACTCTATTATGCCATGCTTTCAAATCATACCGCGTTCAAAAATTCAAATGACCCCTATTTAATATAAACAAGAACCGTTTCACACTAAGCGAAAGCAGATCGGTCAATTATTCACTAGTTTCCTAACGACAAACAGCTTTCTGTAAAGTTAGAAAGTTGTCCTTATTTGCCATTAAGTTGCAAAGAAGAATCAACTTAAGGACCTCAAAGAATTATATTTTTCAAAAAGAATAAAATAATTAGAATGCCATTGCTGTATGCGTATAACGCTGAAAGCAGATTAGGAATAATTAAATCATTTTCACTTATGAGAAATCAATTTTAATCATCAAATAGCCCTCATGATTAGTTAAAGTATCACTGCCAACTTTTATTAGACTAGGGCGCTCAGCCATTGACAAGACTGGATTAAGTGCATCCATTATTTATTTATTATAAAAAATTCTCAGTGAAAAGATTCAAATAAATTTATAATTATAACAAAGAGCAGAAATCTGTGACGCCCAGTGCATCTTCCTTTGATATATACAAATGACAAATGATCTCATTTATCAATGTGGCGCTATCAAGGATTAGTAAGCTTAGTAAATTAAAGTGGGATATTCTCCTAAGCCTTGTATATAATAGAAGATCTACAAATTATGGTTAATAATAATAATAATAAATAATAGTTTTCGTTTTGGGCTACTACGGGACTACGTAGGAGTACTACGGGACCACTAGTATTACTTCAAGATTATAAATAATAATAATAAATATGAGCAGAGAAAAAGCTGTTTCATTTTATAATTCAGTATTGAATTAAGATATTATAAAAAATATTTCTGCTCACTGCTAAGAAACTCTTTAGTTCTAACATATAAGTAGGATCGTTCCCCAACTTGATTACATTACCATTGCATCAAAATAAATCTGTGTAATATTGGATGCACACGAGAGTTTTGTATGTAATTTTAGCTGTTGTTGTTAAAATTTTTGACAGTTTATATTACAAACAAAACTCTCCTGTGAATCCAGTATTACATATAATCATGTAGCGCCAGTAATCCAGTACTATATATATACATATATTGGTCATACCTATAAAAAATTGTATGATTTGGAATAAATGTAATTATTTTTTGTTTCGGATAATTATATTATAATCAACTTTCATTTATTGATCACAAATTGTATATATAGTTTTAAGGTCAGAATTTTGTTCACCATCTCATATGAATTATAACATAAACAATCTACTTCATATGCCACGCATTTGGAACAGGTAATACACAATAACCAAATGTTTAGGTAGGTAGGTAGTTCACATCAATTTAAAGACACAACATAACTTCTGCTACTAATCAAAGTAAATTTAATCCTTAGAAACACTAAACACTGAAGTGATTTTTTTTTTTGCAATCTTGTACCTGATGTAGTCTGATGTAGCAATCGTACCAAATGTAGTCTTGGGAGTACTTATTCTGTTATTTTACCTATATAAGTAATTTATTTTTTACCTAACGAATACATTTGCACCATGTACGAGTAACAAATCTCTATTTAAACAAATTCTATATACATTATATGAAATACCAATGAAATCTCATAGAATACAAAATAAAACATAGATTGTTATGCTATTCTACATATGAACCATTTAATCAGGAATTAAAAAATATTTGTTTCATAGCATTTTGTTATTTTTTACGGAACATATTTACTCATTAAATAAAAATTAAAATTAATTACAATTCGCTGTATTTCTCAAAACTGAACTGAACATTTAGCAACAGTGTCCATCATGTCCACTGTGATTGTGGGTAGCATGAGAAGTTGGTTTGTAGTTGATTTTTTTATCGTTGTTAGCACCTTCACCAGAACCATCTTCAATTTTATCGGAGTTTGTAGCGAATTCGCTCAAATTACGCCGCATAGCATAAGCATCCTCACCATCAGCATAATATTTGGGCTCAATTTCAATTATTTTGAATTTCAAAGAATTTGTATATAAATTCAAAGCGGCCCGATTACTTTTACGTACATGTAGGGATACATATTGCGCAGCAAAGCACTCCACCATTGCCTGTGAGGCTTGATTCATCAGCTTTTGTGCCAGCCCAAGTCGACGATAAGAACGTTTAACTGCTAGCGATGTAATATGCCCGTGCTTAATTTCTTCGCCTTCTGGTTCTTCCATTTTTGCCAAGACATAACCAACAATATTGCCCTTATCATCTTCAGCTACATAACTAAGTTGTGGCCACGTTAAACCGTGATAGAAGTAATATTTCATTTGATAGTTTTCAGGCAGACACAGCAAATTGCAATGCTGCATGCTCATGAGATCTTCAGGTTTTGCACAACGTATATTCATTTTGCTTTATGTTCGTTTAGTAATGACAAAGATAGAGCGTCCTTGTATACTTAAAATTAATAATCTTAGCACAAATTATCCTAATTAATAGACAGCCTTATTATTCCAATGTAATATAATGGAATATTTATATATATAATATTTTTTGAAAAATATTAATCTGTGCGAACTTTCTTATGTGTTGAAGGTGCTGGTTGTTCCTCCGCGTTGTCATTCACAGGTGGTCGATTATTCACAACTTCAGCTTCACCCTGGCCAAGCAGTTCACGTACAAGCCGGAATTTTGATAGAAACGCTTTCCATATAAGGTACCAACCTATAATAACAAAATTTGGTTAGTTAGTTATAAAATTTTTAATTATATCACTAATTTTAACTAAAAGCGGAAGCAATTCTAATATATGCCTAATTTTTGTCTGTTAAAATGTTAGTATTGAGAAGTATACTCGATATTATTCATGGTTCAAAGTTTATAAAACGTGAAGCAAAAAGAAAAACAAACTAAAAAGACACGTTTCTTCACAGTTGAACCAATGATGTCATTCAAAATAAACAAAGTTCTAAAAATTAATTTTTGAGAATTTTTAATAAGTATTTAAAATCCTAGAACTTTTCTAACATCACTACGTGTTCTTACCCATTATTATTGTAAGTGCAACAAAAGCAACAGACGTAATCACTGTAGCAAACAAAGCTAATATAGATGCGAAAGACATTTTATTTTCTATACTTTTACTTGAATTATTATTTAAATTTTCTTTTTATGCAAATATCTTTTTATACAAAATATTTATATAAAATTGTTTCTTTACATGCTACACCACTTCCAAACGATATCACAGCAGCCACACTCGCAGCTAAAATACAAAACAGCTGCCAATATGTCAAACATAGCTTATTTTCATTTTGTGCAATTAACGGAGTGTAATTTCGAATAATTACACAATGACTACTACACAATATGCACAAAAAGAAAACCACACTAATTTACTTATAGAAAATCATATATGACTGAAATTCATACATTTTTCACACCCTTCATTTATTAAAAATGTTCAGCTATCAATTTACTTGCATTCTCAAATAAAAATAACTAAATTGTGTGCCGTTCGTATAAAATAGTTTATGACATGCAATATACCAATAGTTTTGTATACACTTCGGAAGTGCGAACTCCGAATACAGAAATATTGTACAGCACAAATAAAGCCACTGGTGTAACAAAAAAATGGTGCAGAATATTTATTAAAATCTTGCATTTACCTTTAATATAAATTTAGAATATTTTCTAATAGACTTTTGCAAATCTAATTACAAAAATAAATTCACAACAAACCGGAACACACGAGAGCGAACTGTCAATTTACTTATAGAAACGTCAAAGAAATTATAATTCAACAGAGTTGCCGAATTATTGCCATTAATCCCGTATGTATTATTGCTGTTCATATTTGGTTTTACGAAGTATTCGGAAAATCCGAATAATCAGATAGTAATATATGTAAAAATAATAGGTCTGTTCCACGAACTACTCATAGTAACACATGAGTAAAACAGAAGTAAAATTTACACAAAAATACTTGAAAATTTGCTGGTGGAACGCGCTTGTGTATACACAGTGTTTACTCAAAGTTACTATGAGTAGCTCGTGGAACAGACTTAATATAAATAATGTTTATGAATGCATAAATATTGTTAAATTTTTACACATATTAATAGATATTATATTATATATCACATTTTCATCAAAATAATTTCTTTAATATAAATCACAATTATTAATAGTAGTATAGTACAGTACAGTATTTTTATTTTAGTTCAAAAAAAGGATAATATTTCAATCTTAAAATCTTACATGTTAATTTATGCTATTAATAAAAAGAATACAAAATATTTACACATTAAAATATTGTTAACTATTGAACTAAAGGTATAGCCCAAATACCATCTGCCAAATAACTATTAATATAAGTTATTTAAAATCTAAATTTTCTATTAATTACTATGTTATAAAATAATATAAAACAAATACAACACAAATAATTTTCTGCGTAAAATAACAAACACACAAAATCGTATAACCAACAACAAAAATACTATCATAAAAATCATTCACAAAAAAATTTGTGTTTTTTGTGTGATGCACGTTCGTTTGCATTTTGTGCAAATGCAAAAAGTTGAAATTCCCTTTAACTGTTGCTCATGAAGTGTCCAAATAATTTCACTGCGAATAATAACCGCAAATTCGAATATTCGAAGACTCCGGATTTACAAAAAATCCGATTTTGTTTTCAACTTCGGATACTTTGTTGTTACCCGATTAATTGAATAATCGGATAACTTGTGTTTTAAAAATGTTCAAATAATATGAACAGCAATAGTATCAAAGAAGAAAAGATATTCTCTGAATAGTATGTACCCATTTAAATGTTAAAAATTAATTAAGGTAAAAGTAATAAAACTTTCCATCTCATCGGTTGAGATCCTTATAAAGTACCTTATAAATCTTATACTGGATTCACAAGAAATTTTTGTTTGTAATTTTGGCTGTCAAAAATTTCAAACTGAGATCTGAATTCAAAAAGCAAAAATATTGATTAATACGACAAATCATTGTAATTTGATTTAACTACTTACACAAAATATTTTCTTTGCACATATGATTTATACAAATGATAAATCAGTTTTGTTTGATTTTATATGAAAATTTCATTTATCACTGAAAACTATTCTCAATAGCATAAGTTTGCACTATGCAATACTGTAATACGGTGAAGTGTCAAATTAAAATCAATTTGAAGTTAGGATTCAATTATATTTTCAACTGTATTTATAAATCTTTATATAGTGAAATAATGAAATAAATAATATGTTGCTATTATCGTCATCTCAATTCCTTCAGTTTCGATTACTATTTTGCATTCTGTACTTGCTCCACTGTTGTTATGAACGCTGTAAAAAATAAATCAAAATGAAGTATGCATAACTTGTTTCAAAGTGTGTAACAAAGCACATTGGTGTGCAGATATGTAGCATCGTCTATGTCATGCTTTTGTCGAAAATTTGCTGGTGGAACGCGTTTGTGTGTACACAGTTTTGCTCAAAATTACTACGAGTAGCTCGTGATACAGACCTAATATGTTATAAAACAAACATACCAAAACAACATTTATATATAGATATGATACAATTAAAACACAAAACAAAATCTTTCTGAAGAAAATCTTTCTGAATAAAACTTATAGTAGGAAACTTTTAATATTCTACAAGATAATTTGCATATAATTTGTTTTTTATGACTATAATGTTATTTATGAATTTAATAAGTTCTAAAATCAAGTGATAAGTATACATCACCAAGATATGTAGTCTATTATTACTTAACGTTATAAGAAACCGGTTCTCAACACTGTCGGAATTTTTTTCATAATTCAACACTGATTTTATTTTGTATTGTTTTATTTTTTCCTGAATATTCAGAGCTATTTCATCAGTTGTTGAGAAGAGTTAACTTTTTAAAAAGAAATATTATTTCTATTGTTGTCATACATTGCAAATTGTGATTTATATACATTGGCATGCAGATTAAAGATTATTGTAATTTGCTTTTAAAAAGACAATATTTTATTAATTTATCAAGTTAACATTAAAAATTACAAGAAAAATTTGAACTCAAACAGCATTGAGTCATTGCCACGGTCAACAAATAAAATTTTTTCAACTCAGTTTCATTGTCAGCAACTTCCTTAGTGGGACATGGAAGCTAAGTTACGAGATCATATTAGAAATAATTTAGATGACCTTATATGCAACGTTAAATATGACAAATTTCTGAATGGCTGCCTTCGTACTCCACATTTGCTTACGAATGAAATGCGTTTTAATTTAGAGAACATTCAGGAAAAACTTTCACCTGAAGATTTAGAACTTGAGCGACACAAGCGGCTATGGAAAAAATTAACACAGAGAGGACCGGATGCTTATCAGCAAATTAGAACTGTTCTTAGCCAACTTGGTTTCGATAAAGCCTTACAAATATTAGATGTGAAAAATCCTGAGTATGTGTCCATATCTTCTAATAAACGCAATGGACGGACTGCGGAACGTCCTCCTGTTAGAGAACCATTAGCAAATATTGATGAAAATCAAGTTGATGGCGACGGTAACTGTCATAGTCAAGTACGTATAAAAATTAAACTATTCATAAATAATTACTTAATTAAATAATTTCTATTACAGTCAACTGACGAAGTTACATTAGAAGAATTTAAGAAATGGGAACAAATTGCAGATAAGAAAAAGTATGAAGTCATACTTTCCAAAGAGTTACACGTTGATAATAAAGTTGGAAGTTATTCCATGAAATCGAGATATAATCGTGGTGTTGTTTTCATAGTGAACATCATTGATTTCCCAAACAAAAAGTTACACCGAGACGGAGCTATTGAGGATTCCGTATCTTTACTGCATTTATTTAGAGAATTGGGATTTAAATTATATTCATACAAAAATTTAACACGTACAAATTTCTTCACGCTACTTGCAGAGATTCTTAATTCAGAAAACGCACAAAGAGCAGAATGTTTTGTTTTAGTATTAATGAGCCACGGAAATATGGTTGGAGAGTTTACAGATTATGTGCAATTTCATGATGGTGCCGAAGTTAAAGTACAAAATATTATAGATTGTTTTGAAAACAATCGATGTCGGTCTCTGTTAAATAAACCAAAAATTTTAATATTTCCATTTTGTCGCGGTGAAATATCAGAGAGAGGACATATACGACCAGTTCAGACTGACGGCATTGGTTCTTTTACGTCGCCTTTAAAATCAGATATGATGATTTGTTATGCTTCCTTGCCTGGCTTTACTGCACACCGTGATCTGGATGATGGTGCTTGGTACATACAAACATTTTGTGAGTTAATGGCAAAACACGCGCACGACACAGACTTTGACAGCATACTCAAGTTGATACATAGAGAAGCTGGCGAAAAGCGTTCACATTATGGTGATATGCAAACTGGAAACTATTGCAATTTTGGTTTTAATAAGCAATTATACTTTAATCCAGGCATTTGGGAAGAAAGTAATAACAACGATATTAATTAATATATAGTTTACAATATGTGTATATTCTTTTTCGAATTATATGGTATATATTAAGTTATGTTAAGTTTTACAAATATATTCAAACGCATTTTATATATTAAAGATTGTATAAGATATAAAAAAAATTATATTTTGGTATTGTACATTTACACAAAAAAAATGTATTATTATATACTTTGTATAAATATATAATATTTATATAAAAAAAATATTTAAATCCATTGTTATTTAACTTAATAGTTATTGTGTTCTTATATTAGCCACTAAAATTGATTATAGCTTACTGATTATGGTGGATGAGTCATACTACATTACCATTGTCCAATGAAATCTAATAATAAAGATATTCTCTTGATATTCTAAGTGTACAATAAGTATATTAATAGAAATGAGGATAGAATAAAATGAATGTAATCAGCAATTCAGCAATTTTACACACAGCTAATTTTACATCGTATTTCAGTTTCGCTATTTTTGATATCGCCTGTGTACGTCGCTGTGATCTAAGCTATGTGTTGTTGAAAAACAGTCGAATTAAAGCTTTCATGAAATAAATATTTCACACATTTTAAATTTTATCAAATAACTTATTTCAATTAATTTATTTACTGTTTATATTGTTTTCAAAATATTTTGTTTTCGAATTCAGACTTTGGTCTGGATATGCCAGTTGGTATTTTAAACCTACTTTAAGCTATTTTCATTAAGGTTTACTTTCTTAAAGCTATAAACGGAAATTAATTTAAAGATTTCTTTGTATTAATATCTAACTTTGTATTAATTTCCACACCTTTAGCATGCGTTTGGTTACTTGTTTTTTAAAATGTGCAAGTCCGTAATAAATACAAGTAAATGGTAAATTAAGCAGTATATATTTTTCAACTATTTTGGTAAATAATCCGAAATGTTACTCTTAACATATATTTTAATAAAATATATATTTTAAAATGTTATTAGTGGCAGTTCATCAATTACCTTAGAATAATATTAACTGAAACCGCAAGCAATTGTTTATGTTAACTTTATCTACTTTATTCTACTGTTTTTAATTAGCGATTTAATTTTTGGTAATCTCTTATTATTGAAGCATAGAAGACAATTGCATCTTAAAAATCATCACAATGATGTACTGCATCATTTATGCTATATTTATAAGCGAACAAGTGTTGTATTCAACTTAGCATGCTCAATCAAAGACCACAGTAGCTAAACACTTAATTTTAATCTCAATTTATATTATGTTATAATATTAATATTAAATTACTTGTATTATAAATAATGTGTAATAATAATAAAACACAAATTATTTCGATAAATATTAGCTTTATTGGGTGATTTTTAATAAATAATGTATGCCACTTAAAATGACTTAAAATCAATTTTTAAATTTTGATGCATAAGTAAGCACACAATTTTGTACAGAGAGAATTCGAGCGCAGTGCGATTTCTATATAAATTCTTTTCCATAAAAGATAGTTAAAATATTTTCATAAGACAATTACATAGCGTCAGTTATACACTGTTTCTTGTGGACACAATAAAAACAATTGAAATGTATTTCTATGAGTAGTATGTATTTATGTATTATCTCAAAATTATCTTCACAATAAAATAATGCTCTAATATATTTCTAATTCTATGTACTAAATTGCTTAAACTTTAGACCAGCACTTAAATCTACTTATAGCTCTTCAATTTCGTCATCGGCATCTTGTAGATGTGCTAAAGTTAAAGACCCAGCCGCACGGTGCTGATTTTGAGTATTGTTTGCTTTTCTTTTTTCTTTCTTCTGTCCAATAACATATTCAGGCATCACAACTTTAGAACCTTTTAGTTTCGGTTTATCAATCTCAACATCTGCAACTTCTTGTGACTCAATGGATTTTAATTTTTGACGTATTTTGGCAGATTTCTTGAACTCAATTTTTTTGGATGTGGTATCGTCCTGATCTGTTAATTCATTTGCTTCACGGTGTTCATCGATTTGTTTTAAGAAAGCAAATGCTGCACTAGTATTTGTATTATCTGATATATCCACATCGGCAAGCGAATATTTCTTCCATTTATGTGGGTTTATCTATGTTAATAAAATATTCATAATTAACGTTGATTGCTTAAAAATAATTTTTATATCATACCTGATAATCAGGTGTTTTACGTGGTTTAAGGCAACGTCCAATAGGTTTTTCGGGTCTCTTAAAAATACTTTCTTTTCCTTGCAAATTTTTAAGAGTTTTATTCCTTTCTAGATTTGAAACAGTTTTACCATCACGATAGCATAAATCCGTTTTATTTTCTGTCGTACGTTTTAAATAATTTATTGTGTACTGATTTGCATTTGCTTGATCCAATGCAGTGCCCTTTAATTCCAAGCTTGCATTGTCAAGCGAGGCAAATAATGCATCTCGTTTTGATTGAAAATCTTGCATTTCTTTAAGTTGAAATATATAAATATATATTTTATTTACAAATCAATCAACTTGTTAAACCGTGAATTATAAAACTTTACAAAACATAATAAGACAAATTATATGTCAAAGTGTTATGTCAAGTGTCATGTCAACTTCTTTGAAGTGTGATGCCACCTTTAAAAAACGCATATGTATAAATACTATTTAGCGGGTAAAAACTAAATGTTTTCTACACAAAGCAACTAAATTTCCAAAAATTTGTAAAGAAAATTGATAAAAATGCAATTTATGTACAAAATTTTTAATAAGATAGTACAATGTATTAAATATAAAAAAAAAGTTGAATGGACTTAAATGAAATCTAAAAAAAAGAACTCATAATTATATCGATCCATATTATTTCTATAAAAGCACTAATGGTACACTAATGGGATAGTCGATGCAGTGTGTTTTATACATTTCTTTGAATCAGTTTAAATGACGAGACACAAATTTCATTCTGTTCGAACAAATTTCTATTAATTAAAGTGAAATAGTCATCTGCATCAGTCATAACTATAAATAAGACTGAGAAAAACCTGTTATAGTTAATGTTTTCAGATCTTATATTGTTGAAACACTTAAGTAAGTACTACCAAAAGATCCAATTTAATAAACTATATTCCTTAGCACAGTATATCGATTTAGTTTCTCTCTCCACGTTACTTCATTCGGCACAGACATATTTCATGGTTGCAAACTCTATCAAATCGCATCACAAGTTGTCGCACAATTTCAGCTGTAGTTATTGCAGGGTATAATTAAAATATCAAATATTAAAATGCGCTTCCTGTAACTAAATACCTAAATAATAATTTTTTTTTATTTATTTAATAATAATAGTTATAAGTAAATTAAAAGAGAAGGAATTGTCACTTAACTTCTTTCTTATTTTTTATTATTAGAATATTCGTATGCCTTTTCCAGATGGGTAGTTTCATTAATGATGCCTTTAAAATTATAAAATACTCTAACATTGCAAAGAAAGCTCAGTATTATAACAACTATAATAATTTCGAATATGTAAAGTATTAAAAAGAAGAAAAATAAATCGTTCCAATTTTTTTGAAGATGTTAATAGAGCATTTGTTGAGGATTACAATTAAAAAAGGAAATAAAACTAAAATGTCAATTTTTACAGTTAATGGAAATTACAGTTAATAAAAACTCATGTTCATCAACACTCATATATTTGATTCTTGAAAAGTTAGACGAAACGTTTATTTGAATGCTTAAAATATATAAAAAATATTAAACACAGTAATCAAATAATACTAATCTTAGTTTAATAATCGATTCACACGAGAGTAAATTGTTAAAAATGTTGATTTTGCATTGAAAGCAACAACAATTGAAAGCTAAAATTACAAATATGACAGCTAAACTTACAAACAAAACTCTCTTGTTAATCAAATATAATAAGAATTTTCTGAGGTAGTAAAACGATAATTCTGAATTCAGTATTTTTCCTTTTTTTCTTTTTTAAATCTTTTGACACTAGTTGCAGTAAAATAACAAATCTGTTTGGGCTCAATCTGTAAAACGTTAAACGATTGTAATAATAATAATTTCTTTCTAGTAATAGTAATTTCTTTTAGTGTAAACACTTATTTGCCATAACAACGACGTTTTATTTACAGTAATTCATTATTAAAATTAAATAAATGTCATTTTATTCTGGGTGGCACGGTCATGTTACGCAGATAAATAAATTATCAGATAACAAACGGTAACTACAGTTTTATCGACAATGGTATTGGCTATCGTATTTGTCCTAACGGTAGTCGATTAAACAGTGTGCTTTATCCGTTTCATATCTGCTACGTACTTCATCTGATACATCGGAAAGGTTTTTTTTTACGTAGAAAGTTTTATAACATACAAATTAAGTTTTCAGTGCATAATTAGAAAAATATTCATAAAATTGATGTCAGTAGTTAACGGTAGTTTGAAAAATAATTGTAAATAAAGATGTCGCGGCGATTAGGAGATATTACACTTGTAAAACAAGTAGAAATGTATCCGTGTTTGTGGAATTCTAATTGCAAATCATATTGTAGAGCGGATTTAGTTAGTCGGGCATGGCGAAGAATTGCCGATAAATTAGAAGACAGTGGTAAGTAAAACAATATCTATATTTCTATGCAATGGTGCTTAGAATCGATATGCTATGAACCGATAAAGGGGATCAACATGAGTAAAAAACATATGACAGCATGAGAAGAACACCAAAGAAAGGTATTCTTTGCTGAATACAATTATAAAATTTGTTTAAGGTCCTAATAAATAGTAAATTCTAACACTTTGATAATAAGATGAAATATGGTATAATCTAATTAATTTAGTAAATATTGCTATTTATTTATTAAATAATTATTAATATACACAATAGTTCTTCATGTGCAATATTTTATAATTTTATTAACTTTTTCTACTACTTTTAGAGATATTACTTGTAGATTGAAGTAAATGTTCTCCATTTTTCATATTAGCAGATTCTTTCAACATATTTAGAACTTCTGACATTTTACTCTTAGGACTGATATTAGGTCTTTATATAACCGATAAACTTTAATCATCGTTAAAGTGAATGATAAACCGTGATGGCTAAATTTAAATCAGAAAAATCTCTGGTTAGCTTCATTTACCAAAGATTTTACTAACTAATTTCTTTAGTCAAGCAATAGTTTTATGTATTTAAGCAATAGTTTGCTACATTTTAAAATTGTTTCTTTAATATTGCATTACGTAGTTATATTTTGAAAATAAAATACTCAAGAGTCATTTCTAAATCCAAAAGAAAACTTTCGCTTTTTGAATAAAACAGTAATATAAATATTTGCATATTGTTATACAATACGAGATAAAAGAGCTGTTCCACGAGCTACTCGTAGTAACTTTGAGCAACATTGTGTATGCACAAGCGCGTTCCACCAGCAAATTTTCGAGTAAATGAGACCATCTGAGAGAACGTAACATCCCTGTCGAAATTTGAAAATGCTACAAAGATTTTACTCGTACATTTTATTTTGAGTAAAATTTGTATTGATGTCTGAATCAACTGTTTTAATTTGAACTTAAATTTTTGTATTGCTTATTTTTGTATAACTTTATATCATCATATTCGTACAGAGATATGATAATAGTATAGTTTATACTCGTAATATATTAAAATTTTTGGATAGTTTAGAATATGTTTTGAGCTTCATTACCAATAATATATTGTAACGGCTCTAGGTTATCTCTAGGCAATAAGATCTTCAATGTCAATTATAGCGAACGTACCAGTTGTAAAGCCGTAATCATAAATAAGGCTGAGAAAAATCATTTGTAGTTAATGTTTCTGGACCCTGTATTCTTAAATCACTTAATATGAACAGTACCAAGAGAACTGATACAATAAACAATATATCATCATAGTTCGGTATATTATTTATTAATTTCCTCCCTCCAATTTCCTTCTGTATAAGTAAATAAACACAAAGTTAACTCCTCATAAAATTTTGTCGTTTTATTTCTTCATTTTTCCATTTCAGTGGATAATTGCCGTGAGCGTTGGAAGCATATTCGTACAGCTTATCGCAGATCATTACAACCATCTAAATCTGGCTTCCGAAGATTAAAGAAACCTTACTTTTTAACAAACCATATTTCTTTTCTTTTTCCATTCTTGAAAAGAATGTCAAAATCTGGAAATATTCTTTTAAAACCTGCGATTGATGAAGAAAATGGTGATGATACTGAAGCTGAAGTTACACAATACTCTAATATCGTACAGGAACATGATGAGACCAATGATAATTATATTACGAGCGAAACACAGCATAATGACAACTACAATAATTTCGAAAATATAATGGTTTCCATCCCCAAAAAGCACAAGAGGGAAACTAATTTTTCAGAAGATGATAGAGCATTTAAAGATAGAGATGTTGAGATAGAGCAAACATTTCTCAATGAGATTGCATTTAAAAAAGAAAATGAAGTTATAAAAGAAGAGGATAGTGATTCTTTATTTTTTAGATCCTTACTCATTGACTTTAAAAAACTTGATGAAAGACGTAAAAGAAAAATGAAATCTCAATTTTTACAAATAATTAATGAGCAGTTAGAGGTTACTGAAATGGAAGCATCTGGCAGAATGAATTTATGCTGCTCATCAACACCCACACAAAATACTCCTTATGAACCAAATAAGATTGAAGAGCCCCTTATTACGGATACACTTAAAGAAGAGTATGTGGTCTCTCCAGAAAGTGACAAATAATATTTTTTAATTTATATTATTATAAGAATAAAGTAAAGTAAGAAATAATGTTTCATTATGTCCACAATAATCATGTACTACTAATGTCACTATAATAGGCAGTTTCTCCGGTGGAGATATGGCAAGTCTTAAGTCACCATTCTTCTCATAATCTTTTAATAGTAGTTGCAAAAAAGTGAAAAAGGGATGGACATCTTTTGGGAAACTCTAGAAACTTATATTCTTGTTTTAAGAATTCACGGAAGACTACTGTTGAACTGTGTTGGATATTTCCAACGTTATACGACCGCTAGTGTACACGGTATTTTAAACTTTTTGTAAATTAATAATTGTACCAAATAATTGTTGATGTACTTCAATATTGACTAGCCACCTATTTTTTAAAATCTTTCTGCTTAAAGTATAAGGTCTGGTAAGTAGAGACATCAAGAAAAACAAAGAAATATAGTTCACATACATAAAAAAATTCAAGACAAGAATCGGGAAAAAATACAAAGTTGGATATGCGAGCCTTTTTAGGTATTTTTCCATTTTATTCAGCAGGAATTACTTCTATTTTAGGAGCTGTAAATTTTATTTCAACTGTTATTAATATACGAACTTCTGGAATTACTTTTGATCGAGTACCTTTATTTATGACATCATCTGTAATTACAGCATTATTAATTACTAAGTTCCTCAAGCAATTTTTTAATCAGAGAAATCAAAAACTAAAATTTGTTTGTCAATTGTTGTTGTTTTCAATGCAAAATTAAAATTCTTGACAGCTTAAATTATAAACAAAACTCTCGTGTGAACCAAGTATCAGTTTCCGTTTTTTATCTTCTTTGATAATACTGATCTGCTTAATGACTTAAGATACCATATGTTTCAATTCGTGGTCCGATATCTGAGCAATATGACTCATTGCTTTACTGAAATCTAGCTCTACACCTATGGTTACAGTAACTCTATTTATAAAGTTTACTATCAATACTACTGATTTTTGCTTTAATTACTGGAGTTTAGTTTAAGCATTTGGACATTTTTAACTACTGCATTTTTAAGAGGCAGTTTTTCACTTACCGAGAAATGAATTTATTGTATATTAGTTTTGGATAAGTATACTATGCAATTTTAGTACATATAACTACATTTTTATTACGTTTATTTTCTCTAATGAACTTAATTCCGAAATTCCACAAGAAAGAGTAACAAAATCGTGCAACACATAATGCAAATACAATAGAATAGTATTTAAATTTAACAATTAAAAATAAAAATATAATTAATTAATTTAATTATACGACAGCTGGTTTATGATTTCGTTTTACAATACAACAAGTGAATTTGCTAATGAACTTTCACAGCAAATTAACAAAACTCCAAATTCCAAGATACGAGTCCAGTATGCCATTAGGTCAGTTGGCTAATGAACAGTGACTCTGAGTTTCAAATTTGGCAGGGTACGTGTTCGATTCCTGTTGCTTGCAGTTTCAAAAAATTATTTATAAATAATTAAATATAAGAAATAATTTCAAAACCATTAATGATGGGTACTTGACAATACTCGAAACAGCTGTATGGTCCTCAAAAAGTTTAATTAAAAAATAAAATTTTATTGTTTTAATTTACTACTGTTCAAAATATTCTCTATTGAAAACAATAGTTTATATTAAGAATTTAGTTTCTTTCGTCAAAACCAACGCTAAAAATTGGCTTAATTCCTCATAGAGTTTTTTGGGACAAAAAAGTCAAAAGTTTATTTAAAATATATATAATGTGCAAATATATTGAATGTAATATTTTTTGTCAATAAAAAAATAATTCAATTAATAATTATATACAATATGTTGTGTGAAATATATATTATAATTTATTTGTCAAACTTTGTTTTTATACTGTGGCATCACTTAGTGTAAACTCTACAACAAATTGATACATTAAAAATATCGAAAATAATTCACCTATTGCAATTGAACCTATTCTGCTCGCCTGGTGCTGAATTGTGTAGTCTTGATTTTTGCGGATTAGGAAATTGTGTGGTCTGTCCGTCCTATCTAATGTCAGCCTAATTTATGACTGACGGTGGGTCCATCCATATTTTAAAATAATTTTTATTTATTTCAAGTAAAGAAATTACTATAGCGGTTCCCTTGAAATTGTACTCATGTGTATCTCACACAAAAGAAAGTTAACATTGCTCACATTGTACAGTATTGTATAAAAAGTTTTTTCTAAACCAGTTTACTTATTTATCGAACTTTTATTAAATTATACGTTCGTAAGTCCCATTACGGTTTAGATTTCCAGATATATACGTCTTATGATTTTGAAAAGTTATTTATTCCATTCTGTATATTGATGGCACTACAAGAATAAACCAAATTAAAATAAATGAATTTAGCAATAAAAAATAAATCTGGCAACACTGTTTATGGTGTATGCATATACTCAGCTCTCCAAAAATTTGTTAGTATACAAATAAGTTGAAGGGGAAAATATTTACTCTACACGCTTATGTGGGGCCTGCTGTTATTTGTTGGATTTTGAACGCCTGTTACTATTCATGTTTTCTTGACTAACCCAACATTTAAGATTTTTGTTGTCTGACTGTCCCCATGTCCGTTAACTTAACTTAGTTATATTTATGTTCGATTATGGACGAGGTTAACAGTTATTTAAATATTTTTTGTGTTTTAAGCACAAAAAACAAAACACCGCGAAAAAGTTTAAAAATCTTGATGTGTTTGGCATTTTATTAATGCAAATATCATGAAGTCAACAAAATTCAAAATTATATTAAAATTCCTATAATGTGAATTAATAATGTGAAATTATCTTCTGTTTTGTATGAGCATCAAATTCAAATACGAAATACTGAGATCTTCTTCCTCGTAATGGATTGGATATCTTGGAAAATGTGTTGGAGTAGATGTTAAAAATTTAATTTAAACATTTAATTATTATTAAATATTAATAGCTTTTGTATAAAATTAAGTTAATATTTTAGAGTATGCAAATTATTTATTTAATATAATTTTAGTTTTTAGGAGGACGTTATTAATTGCATTTGGGATGCAATTATATGTGAAAATGCAAGAAGGTCAAAAAGGACGGACAGACTGATAGCCTTGTTCTTTTGATCCTTATAACTAACTATTCAAATTAATATGAATAATTCAAAAATATAATTATATGTTAAATAATAAAAAATTATTTTTATTTAAAAGTACAAAATTCTATAACAATTTTAAAAAGTCACAAAGATAATCTAAATTATTTAATAATGAAGTCAGATCCAGTTTGATAAAATTTATAATAATTGATTTGTTTAAAATATAACATAATAAAAATATGATTAAACAATTTAATGTTACATTTAAAATAGAAAATTAAGCAGACAATACCACCTCCGGCAAAATTGAAAAGTGCATGCACGACTAGATATCATTGCATATTTATTTACATACATATGTCTGCATGTATTTTTCAAGCATTTGGCAAAAATATATAATAATGCAGAAAAATCTAAATTTATGGTACATTAGCTTAACGCAATCTTTACATTTACGATTGGGTCTTTAATATGGAAGACTACATAAACAAAATAAGTGTACTGCATTGAGAAGCTGCAGCATTAGATTAATTATGAAAGCGTTAGTCTATCAAGGACTGTAATGCTTAAAAAGAATAATAATTAAAATTTATTTAATATTTTAAATTTAAAACAATCTTTATTTATAAATTTATTTATTTTAAAACTACAATTGTTTATTTTTTTTTTGTGTTTTTAGTTATTTCCTATTATTATTATTGTTAGGGTATGTGACACTGCGACCGTCGGGTTTATTGTGCCCCCTTCTGGGTTTAGAGAAGGTCTCTAAGCTCTGTTGCGTCAATAAGAAGTAGTACAGAATCTACTTTATAGAGTTTTATTGCCTTTTTCGTAAGAATATACTTTCCCAGGAGCTTATTAGTTAGTTTCTATAACAATTTTATCTTAATTACTATAAGCTAAAAACTTATATGTTAGTCATCTATCGACAAATGGTTACTTTTATTTTTAATGGAACAGCACTTATTATTTTTAATGGAATAGCTCTAATAGCTCTAATTCTCTTTTATTAAGTTCCTAAAATAATGTTATTAATTCAAAGTAAAGATAATGTGCAAATAAATATGCAAAATCTACGACATTTTATACTTTAGCAAAAGTACCTATACATATATTGATATCATAAAAATTTTATTATCTACGGTTTTCTTTGATAACAAACTTAAACAGTTATAATGAATCATTCCGATGTCTTTTGATGATAATTAAGATGCTTATGCTAATGCAGATGGTAATGTTGATGGTAATAATGATAATGATGTTTATGGCTGTGGGTTGCCACAGAGTTTGTGCACCCATAAACGCCTTAATATAATATAACTAAGTATTTTAATTAATTTGTTATTATTATTAATAATAATAAAATAATAAAATATTAATTGGAAAGTATTTCAATTGTTTATTAGCTTATCCGAGCCAAGCTAGATATAATGAGCAATTTTTCTTGATACTAAAATTAATTTAAAAATATTGAGCTAAATTTGTAAAAATAATTTAAAATTTAAATATTAGTTTAAAATTAAATTATTTATTTGAAAACAAGTAACCTCCTCGGGGAGGTATGCAGTAAATGAAATGATAATCAATAACCCAGTCAAGGCGCAAAGAGGGGTTTTGAAGAAACCTCGCAACTAGCCTCAACATAATAATAATAAATATTTATATATATATTATATTATTTATTATGTATAAATACATATTTATTATTAAGGAAAGAAATAATAATTCATTTCCGTTTTATTTAAAAATTCTTTAAATCTTTTATTATCACTTTATCACTAATTTTAATATTGATGAAATTATTAAGTTTTAATATTATTTGGTTATTAACTATATAAATCTATTTTATCCCTTACATATATTGCCAGTTTCAGTTGGTGGACTTCTATTCACACTCTAACTT